TTTTCAGTTTTACACCTCTGGCCCAATTTCTCTATATTTTGTTATTTTTGCATTTTTATTTCATTTCTGATTTTATTTATTTATCTCCAAATATAAAAAATGCTTAAAAATATTTTCACATTTTTTTTACATTTATTTGGTATTTATTTTAATTTTTTCCAATATAGAAAACACTTTTAATACTTTTCATTATTTGTTTAAATTTAAAAAATAATGTAAATAATACTTTTACTTTTATTTTTTATTTCATTCATGCTGAAAATATTATTATAAAATATAATTTATTTTTGTAAATATTTTATTTTATTTTATACATACTTAATATATATATATATATATATATATATATATATATATATATATATATATATATATATATATATATATATATATATATATATATATATATATATATATATATATATATATATATATATATATATATATATATATATATATATATATATATATATATATATATATATATATATATATATATATATATATATATATATATACACTTTTATTTTAATTAGAAACATAGAATAAAAATACAAAAATATTACATTTTTATTATTATTTATACTAAAAAACACTTTTTTCCAATATATTTTATGTTTGTACATATTAATATTTTTTTTTGTATATAAATAATATAAGATATTATTTTCTTAAAGAAATTAGGGTTTACCCCTTTAATAAATAAAATTAATCTTTTTTATTTATTTCTTTATATTTCTTTACATTGAAAATATTTTTACATACATAAAAACTTCTTTTTGCATGATACATTTTATTTAATATTTGTTTATGTTGTTATTTAAATATTGTACATTTAAATATTTATGCATATTATAATTCAATTTGGATGTAATAGTAACTAGGGTTTATATTTCTTTTCAAATACCCCCCTCTATTCAAAATTGTACCCCCATCCCCATAATCATGTTGTAATAGCTTAGAATTTAAATTCTCGCACTTATACGCTTTCAATTATACCATGATTAGAGAATTAGGGTTTGTATGCAAAAATCCAATTAACAAACAGTTTGACCTAATCAAAGACAAAAATGCATGAAAATCAAACACAATACACACTTGCACCCTTAGGGTTACAATCCACTTGTTGCCTTCAAAAATGGGCCATGGTATGCATGTTAAGTACTTTGGTAAAACAAAAACAAAACAAAAGATCATAGTCTCTCGATGACGCTATCTTGGTTGCCTAAACAAAAATGATCAAGTCCCTCAAGAAAATTGCCAAAAACACTTGACACAATTGCTATCATGGTCTATACGATGACCCGCGCCTGTCCCGTTTAACATCCTAACACAAGGTTGTTCACCAAATGCAATGGTGAAACAACACTGTTAAAAGGGTTAAAAACATAAGAAAGATCTTTGAGTAAAATAGGGTAGATAGCTCTTAGTTACTTGATCAAAACTTGCAAAAACATCCTTACTATTTTCAAACACACTTCACAACACAATTTCAAAACAAGACTTTCAAACATTGAAAACTTTTCAAAAGACAAAAATACCTTTGTATACATTCAAACAAGAATCATTACAAAGGTTGCCACAACGATGGCTTCTTTTCAAAACCTCTTTCAAAATCACACACACAAAGCACCATTTCAAGCAATTGAAGAGCACCATTTCAAACAATTGAAAAACAAATCAAGTGATCTAAACAAATAACTAAGAGCCCATGGATAACCATGGATAGAAAGGGTGCTAATACCTCCCCTTTCTATAATCTACTCCCCAAACCCAAGAAAACATCTCAAAGGTCTTTCCTGTGCTTTTTGACCTTTCCTTAGGATAAAATAAAAAGTCGATGGCGACTCTTGCTAAACCGAAACATTTGCGAACACAAACGCAAAACCTCAAGTCAGTTCTCCCACCGTATCACAATACAGACTAGGACTATTTATAAACAACTCTAATTGGGCTTGGATTTACCCAACTTGGATTATATTTAAATATTAAATCTAATCTAATATAAATTTAATATTTCAACAGAATTTAGAAAATAGATTAAATAAAAGAGACGTTATGACTCATGTTGTATTTCAAAACCACAAATGGTTGCTCTCGCTCTACCATCTAAGTTACAAAATACTTTTTCGAAACCTATAAGTCATAATCAATCCTAAAGCCCCCTCGACGTATTTAGGAATTAATGCCCAATTTTACTATCCAGTACAAACTTCACACTCTCGTTTTTGTTGGTTTGAAACCTTAAAGTTTTTTTCCATCTCGCAAAACCTTTCAATTATTAAAACTAAAGATTAAACCAGAAAATTAATATTTGTGAAAAGAGAAATTACGCCAATTTATTACCGAGTCTCGTCGGAGCAACGGTCCTCACATACAGACTCAAAATAATTTAGCCATACATGATTGACATAAAACTCATATTATTATTATTATTATTATTATTATTCTTCGTACAAAATAAAAACATGAACATGATAATGATGATGAATGCAAGTAGTAACTATAACTAGTAATGCAATATGTATTTGTCCAAAATAGTGCGTACAAAAATCAACTCAATTATAGAAATTATTGTTTTTAATTATTTAATCCATTCCCGCTGCTACTATTTTGATCTTTTTGTTTCATATTTCTTCATCTACTAGTTGGCAATATTAGTAGATGAAGAAATATGAAACAAAGAGATCAAAATAGTAGCGGTGGGAATGGATTAAATAATTAAAAACAACAATTTCTATATTAGGAATTAAAATGAACAAGTGCAGAAGATTAAAGAAAATAAATGCTTACGGAAGAATAATGTGGTGGGAAATAAAATTGTATTTCTCGAACGGAAAAAATTCAGAATGAAAATAATGGCAAGATTAAATAACTTTTACATGCGGTAGAATTCAGAATTGCAGAGTAACAATGTACCAGTTGCCCGATGTGAACAACTCGGTACTTTTACAAATTGAAATTTATGCCTAATTCATAACTACAAGTTTGAATCATCAAAACTAAATTATAAGATCATGTTTATAGTGTTAAAACTCGTATTAGGTGTTTGAAATCATGTAGGAGTAAATGGAGAAAAATAAGGGAAGTGGATATAATTTGCTTCAACGTTAATGTTATTTTTCTGGTTCTGAAGCCCACGGCGAACGACGTGGCCTAATAGCGAACCCATGAGCATAAAATGGTGAGAACGTGGTCTATAAGATCCATGGTGAATGCCATGGGTGTTGTGTGCTGGATTTTTGCATTTTCTTCATATTTTTTTCTTCTGTTTTCTCTATTTTCGTCTTGGTTTCTCGCATACCGGCTCCTACATGTAAATTACTTGAAATAAACACAAACTACCAGCATAACACTATAAAAACATATAAAATTGACACTAAAATACATGTGATTCGAGTCAAAATATACTATGTATTTCCGTGTTATCATTAATTGCTTCTATCACTAGGTTTTCCCACCCAAAAACACCATCAAAAGGGACCATGAAGTCACATAACTATTAGAGGTAGATAAATAAGCTATAAATTTATTTTACTGTGTTATTTAGTCATATAACTTTACGGAAAAAAAATTTATGCTTTTATAACATATTGTTCATTCAAACGCGATAGGATGAGCTTTCACACTTTCACTCTTTCACATTTTAAAGTTTCAAGACTTGTCAAATATTAATCCCGTTATACGGACACTTGCTTGAGTTCTTCTTGAAGACGGGGCTTGAAATTTATTCTTGTTGAGTGCCATCATCAGATGACATTTTGTAGTGATCATCAAACCCTAGCTTAATATACTTACATCTTTAACAGTTTGTTATGTTTTCACTTTAGTTGTCATCATCAAAAGCATATTCATTCTCTAGAGTATGTTGTTTAGAGTTTCTTTTATTCTTAAACCTGCAAAAACATGATTCCACACCTTAAACATTATGTCATTATGATACATCTCAAAAGACTTAACATCTACCGTGGGTAACGTGAAGAGGAGAGGCCAACACTAGCCTCATTGACAATGGAATGATTCAGGCTCATCCCTCCCACTCCTTTTACATAAGCATATATGTATATATGTTTCCATCAAAACGGAGATTCAAGGGTTCGTTGTTATTTTCAATGGAGCCTCCACTAGCCTCTGAATTATCACTAAGAACAACAAGGTATTAAAGATATTCATTTCAAAATTTAATTTGAAGTCATAATATTTGAAACCTGCAATATTATGGTAGACACTGAGCAAACTCTGATCTGAGACATTTTTATAGTTATTATTATTAATATTTTATTTTATTTTAATAGAGAAATATGATGATATCATAATATTTTTAAATTTTTAAATAATTTTTGTTGATCAAATTACTGTCTTGTGGCCAAATAACAGTTTACTAAATAAATAAATAAAAGTCAAGAAATGAAAAAATTAATCCCATGAGAAATTGTTTGTAAAAAGGATAGAGGAAAAATAGGATGAAAATTAGGAAAAGTTGGAATAAACCGTTGCATGAAAAATAGAAATAGTCCTTAGACTATATTTCACTTAAACAGCCTAAATATTTAGTAAACCTAGAATACAAACACACTGAGAGCTTTCTTGGACTCTATTCAATTCCTTCAGGTTATTCGGTATAAATTTTGTTTCCTTTATTATATTTCTTTAATCTATGCGAAACTGTAGTTTGTTTTCGTTTTCTCTTGATGCTGTTTGAATGGTCGTAATGTATATCATAATTATTCTGTCAATTTTACATGTCAGTTAATCATGATTATCTAGTTCCACCCTTTTGAATTTTTAAATTTTCATAATTAGCTGCAATTTTTAATTTTTTGTTTCATGATGAAAATATATTATTTTATATTGTTTAAGTATAATTTTAGATTGATGAGTCGTCGTTTATAATTTGCAACCCAAATTTATATTATCATAGATTTTTTTTATAGTTTGAATAGCTGTTTCTAATCTAATTCATAGTTTTTATCATTGATTTAGTCTTCTCATAATCACATATGGAGGGCTGCTCTATCCATTCTGATATAGGTTGCGATGGTGAGATGACGATGAAGTCTCCTAACTCCAATGATAATGGTTTTGTGGTTTGCGGGAAAGATGATTGTGAATCACCTTTATCGTCTCGGAACTCTGAATTTGAAGTTGTTGAGATAGAAAATACTGATGATGATAGTTGGGAGATGGACACTAGAAGTTATGATGAATTGCTTAAAAAGTTCATTGAAAATGAGGAAAAGCTAAGAGATAACTATTTTAAGTTTCAGTTGTCGGAACAAGAGATTATGAAGTTGAAGGTTCGAATTGAAAATAGTGAGAGTCAGCTTTATAATGTGCGAGAAGAATTGAAACTTAAAGATGAAGAGTTGCATAAACAAAAAAAGCTATTAGAAGAAGACATTTTCATTTTGAAGATTCAAATTGAGAATAAGGAGATCCAACTTGATAATGTGCATGAACTATTGGAGCTTTCACAAGAAGAGGTTTTCAAATTAAAGGTTCAAATTGAGAAAAGTGAGTTCCAACTTAATAATGTGAAGGAAGAATGGAATATGAAAGAGGAGGAGATGCAAAAACAAATTGCTGAATTTGATACTCGTGTTCGAGAGCGTGGCGACGAGATTAAAAATTTGATGGAACAATTTGAGGTAGCTAATGAAAAGCTCGAACTATCAAAAGATGAAATTGAAATGTTAAGTGAAGAACTTAACAATAAGTCTTTTGAGACTCGTCAATTACAAAATCAGCTTAAAGTGGCTCAAGAAAATGTGGCTAAATCAGAACACTGGTTAGTTTTAAAGAGAAGTAATATTCAAATGCTAAGTGACATTCTTAAAGAGAATGAAACCAACCATGATCTTGAGGTGCACCAATTGAAGGATAGATTGGTTGATTTGCAAGCATGTTTCTCTTTGGAGAAAGAAGAGCTGCATTCTAAAATTAGAAGTTTGTCGGAAAATAAAATAGAGTTGACCTCTAAAGTAGAGGATTGGGAGATTAGAAATATCGAATTAGAAAACAAATTAAGGCAATATGAAGCTGAAAATTTGAAACAAGAAAAGAGAGGCAATTACACAACTATGCTTTTCAATTGATCACTACAGAAGTAGATATCTCGAACTTCTTCGAGCCTTAACCGGAAGGAGAAGTCGGGGCAGTCGCATTGTTATATCTTTCTAAGTTATTCACTTGAGTTTCATCTTTTTATTTTTGTTTTTATACTTTTGTTTGAGTATTTGTCTCTTATTCATTCTTGTTATGCACCTAAACACTCAAACTAATGTTTTCTTCCTATTGATTTTCAATAAAAGTCACATTGACAATTGAAGTTTAAAGCTTTTATGTTTATTTTGTCATGTCATTTATGACAATATATCTTGTTTATTCTGCCCATGTGATACAAATGTGTTTCTTTTAACACGTTTTTGGTTAAATTATAGGTTTTTATACCAAATCTCGGTCCTTGAAATTGTTTGGCATGACATCAATGGCATAAATTGTATGGATACATCATGAACCCATCTAAGCATGTGTATTGCTAAAATCCACCTATAAATAAAAATTTATGATTGTGTCTGGACATTTATGCTCAACGAAATATGTTCTTTTGGTGTTTATCGTTAGATTCAAACACATCTTTGAAATTAACCCCAAAATGTAAAATAAATGATAAAAATTTGTGTGCGTTCACATTCCTTGACTGTAGAAATAGAGAAGAGGAAAAGAGGTGAGAAAGAGTGTAAAAAGAGAAAAAGAGATGAGAAATAGAATAGATTTGTTGTAATGTTTAATATAAAATGTTTAATATAAAAGAAAAAGAAGAAAAATAGTAAAGAGAGACTAATAATAATTTAAGAAAATGACATAAAACCCTTATATGATCTTCATCATAATTAATATTAATTTAATAATCTGCTTAGATTTTATTTTATTTTAAATCAATATTTATTTTAATTTGACTCTTATTAATAATTTTTTATTAATTAATTAAATTTATTAGTTTAATAGTTCTTAAATTTAGACCGGTTACTTTTGGACAAAATAATAGTAGGTCATTTGTTTATCCTGAAAGTAGTTTATATGATTTTTCATTTTTAAATTAATTATAAAATATTTAAAAATATAACTTTTCACACTAATTTTCAAATCTTCTATCACAAAGAAAACAAGCAACTCAAAATATTCTAGTAAGTCAGACATTTAATTAAGGGTGGTAAAATAGATCCGGTCTATTAGGTATGTCTATTTTGTCTACAATTTAATGCAGAACGGACGAAGGGTTTAAGCTCTTACCTTTTAATTTGTTCGTCGTGTTCAGCCTCGTTTTCTATGTGGGTTTTTGCGGCGATGTGTATTTTCATTAATTTTTTTTTTTAGTTTTAAAAGGTGCAATATCCGCGGGCTTTTCTTGTCCCGCCCTCATTTTTTTAGAGTGAGGCTAAATTTTAGATCTGCATCCTCAATTATTCGTTCCGCTCCATTTTTTGACGAGCTTTTGCAAGACGGATCTAAATGAAACGGGCATACCCGTTTGTCACCCTTACATTTAACACAACATAATCACTTTCTTTTTTTTCTTTTGTGATACAATAAAAGGGTACAATTGAAATAGAGTTAAATATGTCGGTCTCTCTTGTGTTTCTTCTTATATTTGAGAAGACTATAAAAATGGTGGAGCCCATATTTTAACGGATAATATATCAGATGGATTTTATCAATTTAATATTTATGGGGATAAATTCATAAAAATGACTCATTTTTTATTAAATTGAAAAACATTTATTTTTATATTTTTTAAAAGATATACCAAAATTTTACAATAACCTAAAAAAATAATTTTTTTAATTATTTAAAAATTAAAATTAATATTACATGATAATATTTTTAATATTATTTAACATTAATTTGATTATTATTTACTCTAAACTACAAGTTAAATACTCAAAATTTCATATTATCTTACTATAATATCAATTAAACTATAAAAAAGATAATTACGAGACAACATTAAGAACTTATATTAATAAAAATAAATAAAATAAAGGGTTAAATATGTTTTTGGTCTTCTTAAATATTTCAGATTTACTTTTAGTCTTTTTAAAAATTTCCTTCAAACAATGGTCCTCCTAAAAATTTTAATTTTAACGTTTGGTCTTTCTTGCAAAAATATGTCGCTAAATAAAAAACTGTCGTTAAGTTATAAAAATCGTCGCTAAGTTGCAGGAGGGATCAGAAGTTAAAATTAAAATTTTTAAGAGGATCATTCTTTAAAGAAAATTTTTGGAGGAACTAAAAGTTAAATATGAGACATTTAGGAGGACCAAAAAGATATTTAACCCTAAATAAATATTAATTAGGTTATGTCGGGTTCAATATCGACGAGTCCAAAATAATCATATGAGTTCGACTAAGAAATAATATACTATCCAAATAAAATAACTAAATTAATCTGACACTCGACCCGATCCGTTTACTCAAAAAGGATAATGAGTCGATTGGTTTCAATCAAACGTTCAAATTTGTCCACCCCTAATTTTTAGAAATTATTCATGCAAAGAACACTAATTTGATACCCCCCTCTAAAACTGGTCAAACAGAACCACAAGATAGTCACAGTGGGTGACTTGTATGTATTATTTTATTATTCGTTGTCATTTCTCTTTAGTCGTTGTCAACTTATATAGTCTGCATTTTTTGTGGATGGTCATTGACAATTTTAATACCTATCAATGGTCTTAAAAGATGATGTATGCATATTCTGTATTTAAGGATCATATCTAGATTGGGTGACGACATGTCTTTAAATGCTCTTTAACACATGTTCAAGTATGATATCATTCCCGCCATTAGTCGGGAAAAATGCAGATGTTTTACCCGTGATACCTCGACCAAACTCGGGATTTCTTCTCGGGATGTACACACACTCACTACGCCAAAAAAGTCTTACAAAAGCGCTTTTTTTGGCCTTTAAAAACGCTTAAAAGTGCTTTCGTAGGTGGCGCTGCTATAGGTTTTAGCAGCGCTTTTTGTTTAATGAAAAGCGCTTTCGTAGGTCTACCTAATACAACGCTTTTTTATGAAGAAGCGCTTTCATAGGTCTACCTAAGGCAGCACTTTTTTCTGGAAAAGCGCTCTCATAAGTTTTCTTTTAGCAGCGCTTTTTTCTGGAAAAGCGCTGTCTTAGGTAGGCTTTTAGCAACGCTTTTTTCTGGAAAAGCGCTTTCATAGGTGGTCTTTTAGCAGCGCTTTTGCCTGGAAAAGCGCTGTCATATGTTTACCTTAGACAACGCTTTTTGTGAAAAAGCGCTTTCATAGGTTACCTAAGGCAGCGTTTTTCTTGAAAAAGCGCTTTCATAGGGTGTTTTTTTTAGAGGTATAATTTATATAATTCATATACCTGCATTGTTTGCAGCATATTATTTATATAAACCAGTTGCCATAACCTGTAATTCATAAACCGCGGTAATGCATTGTATACCATTGTAATCAAAAATATATATACACCATTTTTGTACCTCAAAATATATAAAAACCATTGTTATCAGCATTGTAACTCAAAATCAGTCTTACAAAATCAATCCTAACAACAACTAAACCAGTCCTAATGTATGAAAGAAACACGGTCAATTATGTATTAAGGTCCTGGTCCTGCGAGGTTTGAACATAATAACACGGTCAATATGGTATTCCATGTACACATGTAACGTATTCATAACACTTTTCACATAATAATATATCCATACCTTATATGATTCTCTGCTCAATAAAATATTGACACAATTCCTCTTTGATTTCTTCCAACTGAAGTTTCGTGTAATATGCACATTTGTATTCATCGAAGTACTACATAACAAAACATAATATGCATGATTTAGTTAAAAGTAAAAAATTATATGAAATATCCGAGAAATAATAAAACAAATCCTAAGTTATAAATCCATACCGTGACTGGAATCTCTATTTGATTCAGTTGAAGGATTTCTTTGATAAACCGCATAACGAAGTATCCGCAATCTATACCGTTTTGCTGTTGAGGACACTACATAGAAAAACAAATAAGAATATATAGTTGTATTGTTTTATCACATAGCATAAATATTATAAGCAAAATTGTGGAAATTAATATACCTGCACTTTGATCCAATTAATGTTGTTTGATTTAGACCGTCGTACCCGAGCTGCTCTTTGACACCAGAATACTTGTATCGCTCTAACAAAATAAAAATATATATTTAGAACAATGTCACAGAAATAATTAAATATATAAATACACACAAATATTTAGAATAATCTCACTTACGTATCAATCATTAACTTCATATCCGGATAATTTGTCCAATCACCGTCAACCGAATTCAGATAATAGACCACTTCTTTTATAGGATCGATAGCAACCAACAACCAGTGACGTCTATAAATTAAAACAACAGTTTAGAAGAAAATTTTCTACGCAAAAATTACAAATATTAATATGAACTTAGAATGAAAATCTAACCCTGTAGGAATAGTATTATACGCCCAAAGATATAAGCTTTCTGTACTGCCAGTTGCCATGAATCTTTCGACTAAGTGCTCTCTTACTGAATCCGGTTCCCTACCAATTGTCGCTCCGCTGACACGGGAGGAAGACACGAAATGGAATCTATTTGACAATTGATTCCCGCGCATCAATTTGTCATATAACAACCTTAAATAAAAACATAATTAATATTAGACTATATTCATTGAAATGTTTAAAAAAAATTTCAGCTAATTACATAATATAAAGATGGGGTTACTGGATGTATGCGTGCATAATACTGACGCCTAATTCTTTATGACGGAAAATCTGTTCCACGTCCTCATGTCCAATTATTTCGGTGCAAGGAAAACCAAAGATACCTTGATCCATATTCATTTGACGAATACCACCATCCGTAAAATCTGTTGTTCCCACTATTGTTTCAAGACACTCCCGGTATCGAGGGAAAAATCTAGTAGGAACCCTTTTCTTGGGTGGTACGCCAATGATTTTCTGGCTCACTTGTTGTGACCCTTGAAAAGGTACCTAAAAATCATATAGACTCAGTTAAATTATAAAATTATGCAGTTTTTT